CCCAGCCAGCCCCACCCCCAGGGCGGGCTGAGCTGGCCACAAAATAAAGAAAGATAAAGTAATTAATTAAACAATTTTAAAACTACCAACTAAGAAAAGGGCACCACCCCGTGTATTAAGTGCTGACTTCCACAAGAACTTCAGAGAAGATCTAATGCCAATATTCCTTGTGGTGGATTAGTCAATGGTCAACTTGTAAAATCATCCAGTTGAACTGAATCAGCACAGAACTGGGTGTGGAAGGCCCAGCTGAGGACTGTTGCCACAGCATAAACAAAACAGGAGGGGAAGATGGTGTGCAGTGGGTTCTCCTGGAGTAGTTTGTCATGTTGGTTTTCCTGATACAAATTCAGCTGTACCCATCTTTGGGGGTGCTCAAGTCATTACTGTCACTGAGGAGGGCTGTGGTTTTCTTTAGGGGAGCTTCGTTCCTTACCTTGAGTGTCACTTCCTGGTTCCAATGTGGATCCCTCAGCCTGCTGGCACACACCCTTCATCCCACTGGTTTAGACATTCTAGTTTCCACCACTGACTTTTCAGCCTTCCAGTGCAGAATCCTGACACACACTTACATGAGACACTGCTGTGGGCTCTAGGCCTCCAGATGGACTAGTTAAGGACATTGCCAAGGGCTCTAGGTCTTCAGCTGACTCATGTAGAGCACTGCGGAGGGACTCAGGCCCTCAAATGGATTCTTTGGATCTTTAGTGTGTGGACAGATCTGCACTCTTTTGCATTTGACTCTGTGTGAACATTGTAAAATAATTTTATAAATTATGTGTCCATTATTAAATCTATTCCCCTGCAAACCCTGACTGCAACACTTCTCAAATTCACAAAAACTGCAAAGCAAAGAGTAGTGACAAACTCACTCCTGGAAGTTAGCATTACCTTCACTCCAAAACCAGATAAGGACACCACCAAAAAACAGACCTGCAAGCCAAACTCTTTAATTAAACATACTCAAAAAGATACTGGCAAAGAGAGTGCAGAAAATCCTTAAAAATATGATACATCATGATGAAGTAAGCTTCATGGCAGGGATACAAGGATGGCTTAATATAGCTAATTATTAAGTGTAATATATCAGATAAACAGAAGCAAGGACAAAAATCACACAATCATCTCAATGGGTGCAGAAAAAAGCCTTTAACAAAAATCCAACACCCATTTTAATAAAAACCCTGAATAAAATATGTATACAAGAACCTTATTTCAATGTCATAATGCCATTTATAATGAACTAACTACCAATCATATTAAATAGTGAAAGCCTGAAAGCTTTCCCCCTCAATGAAGAACAAGTAAAGGATGACCACTACCATCACTCCTCTTCAATACAGTACTTGAAACTCTAGCCAGAGCAATCAGACAAGAGAAAGAAATTAAAGGAAAGAAATTATAGGAAAGGAAGAGGTCAAACTATCCTTATTCACAAATGACATGATCCTCTACAT